TTAAAACACAACAGATATGTAATGAGGTAGCGTAGATAATTACAATTTGAATACAACTGACAATTAAAATTTATTGAGATTAAAACTAATTTGCTGTAGTCAGATTGGACATTTTTAAGGTAGATTGTTACTTGTTTTTTATAGGCATTTTCCTTGATAGCAATTTATTCTACTTTTATATTGATTTTATTGTCTACAAAACTTACTTAGACAGATGCATATAGACAACAGACTTCAAAAAAGAATCTCAATCCATACTTTATCAACACATGTTATGTAAGAGGGAATTTAAAAAGTTCATGGAAAATAGAATTTAAAGGTAATGGACTAGATATTGGGCTGCTAGCCACAAGGTCAGCATTTTAAACCTATCAGCCCCTCCATGAGTATCTCTTTAAGTAAAGATTTACAGTCTTGTATGTAGGGTTGCTGTGAATCAGAATCAGCTTGATGGTATTGGGTTTGGGGTTTGTATTATATATTATAAAGAGCCCTGGTGGCGTAGTGGTTAAGCTCTCAGCTGCTAACCAAAAGGTTTGCAGTTTGAGCCCATCAGCTACTATGTGGAAGAAAATTGTGGCAGTCTGCTTCCATCAAGACTACAGTCTTGGAGACCTTGTAATCTTTTCTGCCCTATAGCATTGCCCTATGTCTGAATCAACTAGGCAGTAGAGGATAATATGCATTCAAAAATTCTTTTCGTCATAATACCAAACTAAATAATATTTTAAAATCTTATTATGAAAGATGAGATTTTGTGTATGGTTTGCTGCTCTTCAATTTTTCATGTTAAAATGTTTTGAAACCCTTGGTTGAAATGTGTATTGGTAATAAAATTGGTCATTTCAGTTGTTCACTAAGATTTACTTATTATGCACTACAATTAAGCCAAAAAGAAACTTAGTTTGTATAGAATGATTTAATTTTGGTACAAATAATACAAAATCATATGTAGAAATAAACTGATCCTGAAACAAAAGATGATTATTGCCATGTATATTGATTTATTTTTTTAATTCCAGAAGAAAACATATTAGAGAAATTATATTCACCTGAGATTTAATTGTGAACTTTACTATGTATTTACATTTTTATTAATAACTGTATATATCATGTGCCTGACACATAGTTAAGTACTTGTGTACATTATTTCATTTTCATTCTCCCAATTAGCTTTGAGATTGAGAAATAAAACTCCTGTTTGTGCATGAGGAACCTAAATGACAAGATTACTTAGCTCATAAGAGGAGACTCAGGATTTGAATTTCGAATTTAGGTCTGGTAACGTAGTGGTTACGAGTCAGGCTACTAATCATACAGCCAGCAGTTCCATGGGAGAAAGGTGAAGCTTTCTGCTCCTATAGAGATTTACAGCCTCAGAAACCCTATATAGGGTTGCTGTGATTTGGAACCAACTCCACAGCACATAACCACCACCAGCAGCAGCTTTGAAACCCTTGGCTTTGACTCACTTTATTGTATTATTACATTAAGATTTATTAGAGCAAGCTTTAAATAATTTAATAGTTGCTTTGAGTTTATAGTTACTTTGGAAAAGTTTATTTTCCCCTAATAGGTTTTTGAAATATTCGTATCAAGTGATCTTAAAACATCTTTACTTCTAAAGTAAATATAATAATCCAGAAAATAATTACCTACTAAATTACCATTGTATGATAATTAAGGAATAAAAATTTATTATGAAGTATAAAATAGACATTTTGTTTCTAATATTATCAAATATGCCCCAAATCACCAAACTGTATTCAGGCATCATTGTAAAAGATTCTGAATTATGAAAACACTGGAGTAATTCATTAATGCTCCTTTCTAAGTAACTAAAGAGTGATAGGCGTTGGATAAGAACATGGATTTTACAAATATTGAAATATCCAGGGCTGTAGTAACAGGTTCTGTGGATTTTGAATATTTGTTACTTGTTCTATTCTGATATAAGCACTGGACTGTTAACCACAAGGTTTACAGTTCAAACCCACCAGCCACTTCTTAGAAACCCCGTGCAGTCAATATGAGTTGGAACTGACTCCATGGCACCTAGTAACAACAACGTAAATGTGTAATTGGAAAACAAAACTAATATAACAGTAAATACATCTATTTGGTACCGCTTTAATTTATGTAGAGATGAATTTATAATCTAGATTTAGAAATTTATTCTAGTGGTAGTATTCTGACTTCATTCAGATTTTCTTTTTTTATACTTTTTTCTCCCAATGCTTTCCACCTATTGCTTTACCTGCCAAGTCTGAGTAGCTTATCTTTTTCAAGGTGTTCATTAGAGAATAAGGAATTGTATCAAAATCAAGATAAATCTGAATTTATCATAACTGTTTACATTCTGGTTTCCTTTTTTCTATAGATTTTTATGGGAAGCCGCTGCCTCCCCTGGTTGTACGGCAGAAACCTAACAGTGATGCCCATGACGTGATCTCATAACCAAGTTCATGTGGATGAGCTCTATTTTTATCGACATGATAAATTGGAGGGCACTCTTCTGTTTCAAAGAAGAAAAACCCTGAGCGTTGATGACTGGCAAGATAACCACAGCTATTTCAGTGGAAAAATTACCAACCCTAGACCTAAGTGATCTGATAATTACATATCCATGTTCTTCATGGTTTAAAATCAAAGGAAGTAAAATGCCCAGTACAAGGGTGAAGCATTTGGACCAAGTTAACAAGTAGTGTTGACTCTTTGGTTACACAGCCCTTGTCATGGGCATATTCCTAAAGGAAACCTCTTTAAGAAAAAGAGCCAATGGACTCCATACTTTTCTATATACATAATAGTCTCAATTTCTGTATATTAGACTTTTTTGTAGGATATGTGTGCATGTAAGGGAAATTCTTGGGTATTTGTAACCTAAAATTTTGAACTATTTTTGTATTTTTCTAAAAGTTTTGTTTAAAAGTTTTAATTACTATTAGTTTTACACTTTTCTATAGATGCTTTTTAAAAAATTGTATTGGAAAATAGACTTGATTTATTTGACAGCTGTTAACTATATGATAGTGTATATATATGTATATGTATGTGTGTATGTGGCTTGTAGTATTGTTCTTGAAGTATGTGTCCTAATTTTACCTGATTGTAAGATTTTAGCTTTTTAAATTACAGATTTTCTGATCTTTATTCTACTGATATATGTTATTTGAAAGCATTACCCAAGGATATAGTTTTGTTGTTGTTAAACTATTTCCTTTGGTTTCAATAAATAATGAAAACATATCCTCTTGATCTAGATGTTTTTAAAAATAATAAACATGCCATGTGAAATATTACCAAATATCACAGTAGACAGTTACTTTAAATTCAGAGATCAAGGTGCTCCTTGTCACCACCTTGTTCTCTCAGAACTGTAGAAACTCTTTTATGTTATCCTAATTCTTAATTTAAAGGCAACAAAGACTCAAAGAGTACTGCAGGTCCAAAGACATAGGATTGACTTCCAGGAAATAACTTGGATAGTAAAACAATAAAAATTAAAAAATATTAGTTCAAAAATTACTTTCATAAAAAAGTAATTCCAAAATAATTTCTTAAATTAAAATAATAATATGCCTCTTGCACTTAAGAATGGAATCTCTAGAATTCTCTATTTGTCTGGCATATTGGCAAAATTGTATACACATAATAATTTTTGAGTAGTTGATAAGTAATAGTGTCTTTACTACAAGTGTCTATTTTTTGTCAAACTGAAATACTGTATAGACAATGATTTCTGTTATCACCTTGTTAAAATTGATCAGCTTGAAAATTTGTACTAACAGACTTATACTAGTAACTGGTAATAATATTAACAAGTACTTTTAAATCAGTCTCACTTGATAGTGTCATATTTTATTCACATTTCATAAACTGAAATTTTAACATCAGAGCACATATAACTTATAAGTCAGCATTACATGTAGTGTCTTTAAGTCTTGCACATGAGACCTACGTAGCGCACTGAGTGAGGGAAAGAAACATACTACTTCAGGTCTAAAATTCTTAACAATCTAAATTTGATAGGTTGTTGAAATGTGAGTAAAGGTAACACAAAAAGGATGTAAATTTTGAAATTAATTTCAGATGAAAAAATTTATTTTTGTGTCCTTTTTTGGTTCCTTTGTAACTTTTACATTTATTTATAACACTCATGCTTTTCCTGTCTCTTTTTATCCTTCTAGCTTGAGAGTAAATATAACTTAATTTTGTTTTCTTTATTACCAGTGATTATTCTAATAATATATATTAATTATAAGATCAAATAAAATGTTTTATATTTGTTATAAAATATGTTGTATCCTTAAAGCATTCTAAAAATACTTTAAAAGTTGTTTTCTAAATTCAGGTGGGTTTTAACAACCACATACCTTTTGGTTATATGCTACAGTTTTATTCTTACTAGCCATGAATTGTAACATTTTCACACAATAAAATTTATTTATATCAACATATTATTTCTCTCTTTCATTTAATAGATTTAATATTTTCCTTTGGATATAAGTAAGCGTTTTGAAATCTGATTATTGAAAAAAACTTTTTAAGTCAGTAGATTAAAACAGTACATTTTTTGTTATTTTACCATATATATCGAGAGAGAGAGTCCTGGTGGGGTGCAGTGGGTTAATGCGCTAGAGTGCTAGGTCAGTTTGAACAGCAAGGTTGTTGTTAAGTACAGGGTTTCCGAGGAGCTGACACTGCTGGTTAATCCGCTGGACCACAAAGTCAGTTTGAAACAAAAATTCAGTTGTTCAAATTCACCAGCAACTCCTCAGTACCCCTACATAGGGTCACTAAGAGTCAGAACCAACTCGAAGACACTTAACAACAACTTACATATATGTTCTCCTTGTTGTTGTTAAGTGCCATCACCATATTTACATACACACACATTATATATATGTGTGTGTGTTGTTGTTGTTAGGTGCCATCGAGTTGGTACTCGATGATGCCATGAGTTGGTACTCTTAGTGACTATATGCACTATAGAATAAAACACTGCCCTTCCTGGGCCAGCCTCACTATCGTTGCTACATTTCAGCTCATTGATGCTGCAACTGTGCCATTCCATCTCACTGGGTGTCTTCCTCTTTATCTCCTACCCTCCCATCTTACCAAACATGATATCCTTCTCCAGTGACTGGTCCCTCCTGACTATATGCCCAAAGTATGAGAAACGAAGTCTGGCCATTTTGGCTTCGAAGGAGCACTCTGGCTATACTTCCAATACAGACGTATTAGTTCTTATGGTAGTCCGTAGTACTTTCAATATTCTCCTCAACACCATAACTCAAATGCATCAATTCTTCTACAGTCTTACCTTATTCACTGTCCAACTTTCACATGCATATGAGGTTAGTAAAAATACCATGGCTTGGATCAGGTGCACCTTAGTCCTCAAACTGATATTTTGCTTTTCAACGCTTTAAAAAGTTATTGTGCTGCAGATTTGTCTAATGCAACACGTTTTTTTGATTTCTTGACTGCTGCTTCCGTGAATGTTGATGGCTGATGAGAGCAAAATGAATTCTTTGACAATTTTAACCTTTTATTTATTGTGATGTTTATTGGTCCAGTGGTAAAGACTTGTTTTCTTTATATTGAGATGCAATCCATACTTAAGGCTGTGGTCTTTGATTTTCATCAGTAAGTATATTAACTCCACTTTCAACAAGCAAGGTTAATCATCTGCATATCACAGGTTGTGAATGAGTCTTCCTCCAGTCCTGAAGCCACATTTTTCTTCACATAATCCGTCAAAGTTATGTATGAAGAATGTAAATGACTTAAAAGGGCAAAGAAAAACAAAATGGCTGTCAGGCGACACTGAAACTTCTTTGAACCTAGAATAGCTGAAGCAAACAAGAAATGATGAAGCAAATGAGTTGACAGAAAATTTCAAAGGACAGCTTAAGAAGACCAAATAAAGTTTTATGCCTGGTGTGATAAAACCAAAAGAAAAGAGCATGCTTGGTATTTCTCAAACTGAAATTACTGAAGAAAATATTCAAGCCTTGAAGTGCTTCTGGAAAGATTTACAGCCTTGGAAACCCTATGGAATAGTTCTATGCCATCCTATTGGTTTACTATGAATTGGAATTAATGACAATGGTTGTGAGCAAAAAAATTAATGAAGCGTGTAAGCATCAATAGAAGATGTAAGGAATACACAGAGCCATTGCACCAAAAATAATTGGTCGAAATTCAACCATATCAGTAGGTAGTGTATGATAAAACAACAACAACAACAAAAAAAACTGGTATTGAATGGAAAAGTACAAGCTACACTGATGATCCTACCAGCAAGAAAACTCTAGGAATTGATGGAATACAAATGGAGATGTTTCAACAAACAAACACAATGCTCGAAATGCTGAGTTTTGTATAAGAAAAAATTTGGAAGACTAGCTACCTGGACAACTGACTGGAAGAGAGATAATTGTACCCTTCCCAAGGTGATCCCAAAGAGTGTAGAAATTATCACACAATACCATTGATATCACATGCCAGTAAAATATTGCTGAAGATAATTCAAAAATAGTTGTATGAGTATATGAACAGGAAGCTGACAGTCAAGTTAGATTAAGAAGAGGTCATGGAACAAGGGGATATCATTACTGGTGTCAGATGGATCTTGGCTGAAAGTGGATAATACCAGAAATATGTTTACCTGTATTTTATTGAGTTATGCAAAGGCATTCAACTATGTGGATTATAAAAAAAATAAAGGCATTTCAAAAATGGGAATTCTAGAACACTTAATTATACTCATGTGGAACTTGTACATACACCAAGAGGTATAGTTCAAACAGAGCAAGGAATTACTGCATGGTTTAAAATCAAGAAAGGTGTGTGAGTCATGATTATATCCCTTGGTTTATGGTATTAGTGAAGAATATTGAATGTACCATGAGTTTCTAAAAGAACAAAGAGTACTGCTTACAACTAAAGATGCGACAGTATGTGACAAAGGAGGGGCCAATCCTTTGAGACAGACAACATTCTTGATAAAGCAGAGGGTCAGTAATAAAGCAGAAGACCCTGAATGAGAGATTTAAACACGTCAGCAGTTGTGAAGATGGCATAGGAGAAGCCATATTTTGTTCTGTTGTATCTGTGGTCGATACGAATTGGAACCAACTAGATGGAACCTAACATACAACAATATGGTCTTTTTGCATGCATTACATTAATTTTTATAACTATTGATTACTAAGTTAAAGCTTGGTATTTGGAACTGATCAAGCAGGTCTGGAGGAAGACCTAGGAATCGTCCATAAAGATTATAATTTAAAAATCCTGATGAGAAAGTTTTACTCTGTCACATGGAACCACTATGAGTTGAAATCTAGTGCAGGGGATCTGACAAAAACCAGATAAAGAGCTTTAATCTTCAAAGCATATTTGTGGTAATAACAGTCATATTTTTAGATTTGTAGAATTCTTGCACCTATTGTATATACTTTTGGTCTTTGAGCATCTAAATGGTTATTATATATCAGAAAACTTATAAGCATGCATTTTCTTCTGATACAATTTCTAATTGCAACAAAGGAAATACTAAAAAGTATCATTAAAAGAGCAAATGAAATGAAATGTCTTTCTTGTTACAGTGATATATTTCCCAACTTACTGAGAACTAGTAAAAGTATTTCATGTAAAAATGAGTGGAGAAACTATTGTGAAGGATTCATT